AGAACTAAGTGTGCAGTAAATTAACACAGTTGAAATAGGATTTATCCCAAAATAATTGGCTTGTTTCTGTCATCTTTTTGATTTACAACTTGCATCTTTCTTTTGCTGTGCTGCATTATTTTATCGCATGGCAAAGAGAGGCTTTTACTGTGTTGTTCGCTTTTACTTCTGTTGTTTTCTCAAATGTTACCCATTAAAGTAAAAGAATGGAAATTCTGTTGTATTCAGATTTGTTTTGTCCTCTGAATTCAATAATTAACTAATTTTTGCGTATTTGATTTTCTCAGCCTTTGTCACTCAGGAAAGAAAAAATATAATTTATAGAGGATAGTACATGGTTGCGTGGAGATATGAAATTTATCTTCAAATGTTGAAGTGAAATATTTTTCAACACGAGAAGATTAATTTCTGATCTCCAAGCGACAGTACATAACAACGTTTGTGGCGATTTTCCAAAGATTTCCAACCACTTTCCAAAATTTCCAAAGATTTCCAAAATTTGTCTGAAGGCCAGACGAACATTTCCAAACATTTTCCAAAGATTGCAGAAAACATACAAAGATCTGAAGATGTTTTGACCATATACAAACAAATTTAAGTGTAGTTAAAGGGACAAAAAATTGTTATCAAAAATGATATCTTCACATGTGAGGATGTCATATCATTTTTATCAATTTGTTGCCACTCAGTATACCGCTAACTTTTACATAATTTGTTTTCTTATCAGTTTTGCACATCAAGTTGAGTTCTCTTTGTTGATATTTTTTAATATTTTGGCCCTTCAGTTATTCAACTTCAAATAAACAATGTCTTGAAACCTGATTTTGTGTCTGTGACTACTCAGCATATGGTTTATTTTTGAACTTTCGCTCGCTCCAAAATATTTAAAAAAGTTGCCGGGAATAAGGGATGGGTCGCAGGCAATTTCATGCAGGTGTCAATGGATTAAAATAAAAAAACATTAAGGTTTTCCAAACATAACGCCCCATTTCCCTGAGTACAGTGGTCTACCAACCAAGTTGGTTTCCGGTCAGATTCAAGCAGAAAGATGTCATCAATATTGTTATGTTGTCTTGACACACCTTTCACTAATCAAAGGCTTTGTGAGCCAGCTTACAGATGAATTGGATTAGTCCAGAAAAAGTAGTCAAATAAAAAATAGGAAATGGTGGATTGGGAGTATTGAAAGTTATTTGTTTACTGATGATCCATTTTCCAAGTTGAGTGGCTCATAGCCACTTTGATTAGCATCTCATTTCTAAGCTTTTGAGGTATGAATTTTCAAGACAGCCTAAACTCTTCAGGAAAGAGCAAAAATTTTACTAAAAAGATGGCAAATAAGGCAGAAATATCACCTTTTCAAGCTCATCTAAAATGCAATCAAAGTGGAGAGTGGAAATAAGGGTGATGGGTTTGAGATCTGCAGGTCCCAGTTACAAAACCTCCACCCTGCCACTTGCTAAATTTATTCATGGTGGCTGTGGGTTTGGCACCTTGATCACACCTGAAAAAATAGCTGACTAGTCAGCCTCCCATAAGTTGCATTTCTTACCATATTTGTTTATTCATTTACAATTTCTTTAATTCCCACAGCTGTATTAAATGCAGTTACACTACAATAAAGTTATTTAATTAGACAAGCAAATACCTCGTGCCAAGCCATGAGTAATGCTTCAACTGTGGAAGGATGGCAGTCACAATTTGCACCTTGACTTTAGTTGACATAGTTGCATCAAGTACATGACCACTCAACAGATGATAAATCTACACAGAGAATGGAAAAGAGCAAACTGTTGTGATTACCACTAGCCAATGCAAAATCAGTTGCAACAAAACACCCTAGACGAAAAGTCTTGATAACATCTGTTGTTTCTTTACAGCATGGCTACTAGATCTGTTATTGTCAGGAATACAAAATTAAGTTAAGATAATGTATTGTTGAGGTTCACATAGTCACTAAAACAAGACTATAACATGTTACAGTACACCCCAAAAATAATGCATGCACAAGAATGAACACAAGAAGTTCTCACACTGCCAAAACATGCAAGCTGTGACAAGAAGTACAATTGCTGTGTTTTACCATTTACCTGCAGGAACATTTAGACAAGTACATGTAAGAAGCTGAAAATAATCTTGAAACAATTTGGGCAGAAATAAATCTGCATTTGCAAAAACTAATAATATCTGTGATGTGCACTGTATAGACCTCCCACTGACACTAGCTTTTATGCGACTCTAGAAAGGTAGCTGGAAGAAATATGGATCAAAAGGAAAACCATGTTTATTATGGGCAATCTAAACATTGATCTCTTGAAGACAGGTGAAAGTGGGGCAGTTTCAGATGCTGGCTATTAACTCCTAGTAGTACTTAGGGAGTCAAAAACATTCCCGCAAATTTTGAACACTTTAGTCTGACTTGCCATCTCAAGTCTCGCTGGCAAGGCAGACTAAAGTGTTCAAAATTTGCCTGTATCTATTTCACTCCCTCCCTACTACTTTTGGCACAACTCAACGAGGCAGATCACATTGTCGTGCTCCCTCACATGTGGTGCAAAATTTCTATTTAAAGAAATACACAATACTGGTAAACAGACATTGAAGAGATGTGTCTCACACCACATGAACAAATTTATTAAGACCAGTGAAAGAGCCCCGCCTAGAAGGCAACCACTGATTGACTTTCAGAAGGGGATAGTTGAGATGTCACTTGTAAAGGTGTGGAAGACGGCGTAGAAAGGGAGAGAGGGTGACCATTTGTCAGATGGACACACACCTTCCATCCTAGCTAAGTTTGGCCAAGATATAAACACAGCATTTTATATCCATTACAGCTAAACATACATAATCGTGAATATCGAAACCAGGCTGAAAATGGTTTATTTTAAACAGCAATAAACACTTTTGTTGTAGTGAAAAGATGGTTGAATGAGCAGGAGAATAAACGATTGAATCTTGATAACATAGAGCACCCTAACACTAAATGTTCTCCAACATCCCAGTAAAGGCGGCGCTTGATGGGCAACCACTGTTAGGCACAGGCCCATTGACAGACTTGCTGCACAAACTTGCACGCGGGTGTGTTTCAAAAATCGTCTCACTCAATACTTTAAATGACAACTTGTGTCTTTGGTGTTGTATAGCTGTCCACTATGGAGTGCGCCCTAACTGGAGTATGGTGGTGGCCAGAGTTCTTGTAAAGAGTTTCTTGAAACGTCCAAAGAACTTTGGTGGATGAATTGGATAATGTTAAAAGGCACCTCAATCAGGCGAAAAATGTATCAGCCTGGTTAGGCATCAGAGTCTAGGAGAGTGAGTGCCAGGAAAATGGTGAAATTCTATGGCATTTTAGAGAGAATCCTTCAGACAAGCTTAGAAACATACCAGCAATCAGAATTCATAGTGAACACGCATTTTTGATCAAAAAGAGATCACAAAGCTAGCAAAGATTCTTGCATGTGCTGATTGCCGAGCACAATTCACAAAAGTCTATAATCTACAGTACAACAACATACTAAAACATGTGCTCAAGGAAATATGGGTTATTGACCAAGTGTGTGGTCAAGATGGCTGGATATTGGTCAAGTTCTTTTATTGCAAGTTTATGGACCGAGATGTAGTCGATGTCCATAAACTCGCAAAAAAAGAACAAGGCTAATATCCAGCCATCTTGACCGAATAAGCTTGGTCAATACAAGATTTCTTATATGGCTTTCCGGGAAATTTTTCTTACGGGACATGGCGGCAGTCCCAAGCGGGCAAGGTAGCTCCATCTTGCCCGCTCGGGTAGCCAATCACAGCACAAGATTTGATTCATCTTTGCCTACTCACAAAGCTAACCATATAATAAGAACAATTATCGACTGTCCAAATGAGCAGGTCAAAGCCCAAATAAACAGTTTACAAGAGAGCTTTCTACACAAAGAATAAAGCTTCACCATCAGTGCTTGCATAGCTTATCTGAGCAGGTAAGCGGCACAGAAAACATATCCATCACGTGGTTTACGGTCATGGAAGTGAGAGGTGGCTCAGGGGTGCACCTGTGGACGGTAATGACCCAGGCACAAGGACTGTGTCTCGATACTATGGCTGCCATTGGCATGGGTAGTAGTAGTAGTAGTAGACTTTATTGGAGAGGGTAACATTTGACAGTAACAAAACTGATAAACTTATGACCCTTGAAATAAATGTGTGGTTATTGATTAACACATCACGTGTTAAGGGATCATATTTACCATAAATGGATATGCACGTATTTTGTACAACCACCTAGAGTCTCGATCAGTCAATGAACAGAATCAAAATGTTACATGGTGTCAGAAGTATTGGAAAATGATGAAAAACCTGGCCGATAGAATCAAAATGGCATCATCTCAAATTCCTCTACCAGAAAAATTAGATTCAAAGAAACNTTCTTGTATGAAAACTTCCTTTAATGAAGAAAAAGTCAGCTGCTATGCCATTTGGGAGTGAAGCACTTCTAAGTCAGTTGTTTATTAGTTTAAACACCACTTCAAACATTTTAACATGACATGAAGAAACGCACCACATCTGCAGTCTACAGTGAAAAAGTATGTCTTTGTCTACAATGTAACTATCAACAGCTGCGGCTAAATTTTATCAATTAATCAGTTAAGTCTTATTTTTTACGGATACAGAATTTCCAAGGGGTATGGGGGGTCCAAGTAGAAAAAATCATGGAAATTCCAGGGGGTGGGAGGAGTACTGTGAAGCCCCCTGGAACAGAAAATCGTGGGGGGTGGCGGGTCAAACTGGAAAAACCCTCCGTGGAGGGGGTATGGATATTTTCTGGAACCACACATTTAGAATTACAGTGCTAGACAGTGTCTTTTAAGACTTTTTACAGTACAACTCAAAAGATGTGAGCAGTCAATATCAGGGATCAAAAGTCTACCCTTGTAAGAGGAGAAAGCACAAATTTTTTACTAGAAAAATCTCCTGAGACAATGGCTGTAACAAAATGGACAGTTTGAACATACCTGGTTGTGTTGTTGGAAATGGAGGTGTAACATTCCAATTACACATATATTCATCACAACAATAGACAGGATGGTGTGCATTCTCGCAGGTTATCATATGGTTTAATGCACTTTCAATACATCCCTTAGTCACATCATAACCAGTTTTCTCATCATCTGGTTTAATTATTGTAAAGCAGCCAAATGCTCCTTTGCAACTTCCCAAAGATTCTTCACAACCAGTGCAAGCTACACATTCCACATACTTCTGGGGTGGAGAAGGTGTCTTTGTTACATTGGTTTCTCCTATTAATAAACACAAGGCCATTAATTGACATTAGAAAACAACCCAGGGAAAATACGCATGCTGATTGGTTTAAAACCATGTTTCTATTAAACAAATTATTAGATTATGAGCTTGAGATTTCTATCACGTGATAGCTGACGAGGGCGCAGCCCGAGTCAACTTTCACGCATAGAAATCATGAGCAAATAATCTAATTGTTTTAGTATAAATCTACTAGTCATTCAAAACTTAAACTAAATCCTCTTCACAGACACTTCGAAAACGCCAAGAAGCAGCCGTCATTTTGTTAGCAAGCGCACACTGCTACACTTCTCATTATCTATCACTGAATAGGTACATGTAGTGAGTAGCGTAGCCAATCAGAGAATGGCGTTCGTGATCCAATGCTAGTAGATTTATACTAAAGTTTGACAGAAACACAGAACTAACATGAACTGTTGATGTAATGATGGCACGAGCAAAGAGAATTTACATTTTGATGATCAAAGTAAAAAAGTTGTTTTTCTTTTTTTCGTCGCGGTATTTTCTAAAAAAAATAGAAAACATGTTCTCCGTGTTTCTATCAAGTCATAGAAACATGAGTGAGAGTTTGGGAGAACTCGAAAAAGCTGTGGAAACAGCATTTCTTGTTCTCCCAAACTTTCACGTGTCTCTAGAACTTGATAGAGACACGGTACATGTTTTCTATTTCTTAAATAATACTTATTATTGACATAATTATACTGTTTTAAGTACACTTTCCTAAAAGTAGCACTTATCAATTACACAGAGTGACAAATGGTGCGTTGTTATCCAAATTTGACAAGTTGTCATGATTGGTTCACATAACATGCAAATAATTATTGTGAAGACAGAAATGCAAGAAAAGTGTTTTAAATTCAAGATTAAAAGCCATGATTTAAACATAAATGATAGTATTCATCATTGTTTACTACATGTAGCAAGTCAGAGAGGACTGGGTGTAAAAACAACTGCGAAAACAGCTCTTAAACTCTAATACTAGCATGCAACAAGATAAATGATCACACTATGGAGTCAACTTAAGTTAAACTTGAAGAACAAAAATAATTTATGTGTCTATCCATGGTAATCAAATCTTAAAAGAGCTTCGTGACAACTCCTACCAGCTTATATTATTCTTCCTGGGTTAAAAAGTACATGCAAGGCTGTGGTCTAAGAAAAATTATGAGGAGCCCAAAGTTTCCTAACCATGAAATCCTGGGCACCCAGCACTAATAAATGTTTATAAGAAAAAATTAAGTTTCTCAAGTCACCCAAAAGTTAGTTGCCTATGGCACCCAGGTGCTTCTAGAGCACAGCCTGACATGAATGGAAATGAATATGGGAGTAAAATGTTCTAATGCAAGTATCAGTGCAACACACTGTAAACTTCAACACTTACAAAAAACAGTGGATAATTGTTACATTTTTTCTTAATACAGTGTTCATGAAGGTATATTTTCTCCTATTTTAAAGCTTATAAATGTGTGTTCATTCATAACCAACTGAACAGATCACTAGAAGTCTTGAGCAAGCACTGCTATTCCAAAATACATTTCAGCAGTCTACGCATTAATACATAACAAAAAGACTGCAACATTCAGATACTGTAGTGTTAGCAATCAGCCTGCTACCAGCATTCAGCATTCAGGATCAGGTAAACAAGGGAAAATCTCTTGGCTTAGATTGTGCTGCAATTAACGATGTCAAAGACTTGTCTAATGTTGCTAGTGGCAAAACGCAATTGGCTAATAATTTGACACATTAAGCTAGCGAGCTGTCAAAATCTTGGCACCTTTGGAGGGGCTGTATTAAAAAACCAATAGTGTAAACAGTGCAAATCAACACAAACTTAATTCTGTTCACAAATTTTTATGACTTTGATTCACCTCGGCTTTGGGACGTCAACCATGGGAACAACTATATTTCATCGGCGGTATTTTGATTACATTATTTTGTTGACTAGTTCCAGTGGGGAAATATACTTCAGCATTTATCCAGCCAAGGGCTAATATTGCACGTTCAGAATTGATGGAAAAGTACTCTGAAGCCAAGATCCACAAGAGTAAGCCTGAGCCAAGGAATGGCAATGTGAATTCTGTATATTTTCACTCACCAGCGGAAATATTTGAATCAGTTGTACGGAGTTTGCTTACAATAAACAAGTATGCAATTGGAAATATTGCCTGATATTCCTGCTTCCAGCTTAGAATACTCAGTGTTTCAGCCAGAAAATATTACTTGAGAGTTAAAGTGGCCCCTGAAGATCTTTTTTAGGGGCCAATTTTTTAGGAAAGGGGCCACTAAATTGAAAGCTACAGAAGGAAAAAATGCATCAGGGTACCAAGGAAAATAAAGCAGTTTATTAGGATCTATGATTTACCGGTAACAGTAAGTGCTTTTTGAAGTGTTTCAACTCAATAAAGTTTCTTTTGAATCAGATACTAGTATGAAGAATCCGTGCATTACAAGAGAACAATCCTTAGGCCTACAGGATGTAGTCAATGATCAAGGGTTTGCATTATAGGGCGATTTCAAACATGATCAGCCATTTGGAAGTTTTCTGATGTGAGAGAATCAATACAGCAAAGCAAAAGGACAGGTTGACTTCTTTTCTTATGTTGAATGTTTTAGAAACAAAGATCTTTCAATATGATTTTTCTAGAAGGACATAAAGTGTGACAAAATAACCGTTACTGGTTGTCAACACAGAGAAATGTAGTCGCCATTATGCCGTATTATGGCGACTAAACCAGAATTTTTGGTAGCCAAGGATGAAATGCTTGTTGCATGGGTGACTGTATCGATCACAATTTCGAGCTCTGGGATGGCGTTTAAAATATTATGCCTGCAGTCTTGTAAAAGGAAAGGGCCAAATTGGCCCTTTTTTCATTTTTCTGGGGGCCATCTCTGATTGTAACGCGGGATTCCCACAATGGCGCGCTCTGGCGGAAACACTGATTACATATACAAAAGATTAATGATCTTTGCTAGGCACATTCTTTGTTTTTACTTTATGATTAAGAAATTTGTAACCTCAAAGCATGATTGTTCACAGTATGATTAACATGTTTGTGGTTTGAATGTATCTTTAGTATAAAATTTAGAGAAAAACAACAAAAACATGACTGTCTTATGCCAGTTTAGTTTCTATATTGTAGTTTCCTCTCTCTTATTCATTAATCATACTGTAATTAGAAATAGAAGAGGGACAGTTACAATATTCACCAAAACAAATTTCACCCACACATCAAAACAAACAAGATCATTACATTGTACCATAATATTACAAAAAATTCATGTTACATTTTCTGATGTTACAAAATGAAACAGTCACTAATCAAATTATCAAATCTTTCCAGACTTTGCAACTCAAACCATGCTCAAACACACTACTACAATTGGGAGCTTTCTACTTGTGCTAACATCCAGGAAGCACTGACTACCTCCCACACACCACCTTTTATTAGCCATTAACTAAGTCAGATCACATTTAACTGCATGTAAAATTGACTTTCAATAAATTCATTCTCATGATGAGATAGAGGAATGCTTTACATACATGTAAGCAAAGACTACCTGTACCCTTTAGACTAATGACTTTTGGTTCACTAGCAGACTTTGTGAGAGATACACATGAACATATAGGCCTGTTATCTTATTATGCTGCACATTATTTACCTCAGTTCTAATAGAGCATGTTCTCTTGTATCAGGACTTGATAACTCAAGCACCCAAGTGTATATTTTCTCTCGTTCCATTTCAGACAGGTTTGATGACTGGGTAGGGTGAGTATGAGGAGGAAACCCTCTCTGCAAATGTAAAAATAAAACAATGTTTAAAACACTGTAAAAGTAAAAAAAAGGGGAAGAGTGGAGTACAACTTACAATGTATTTCAACAGAGATCCTACAGTTAATAGTTCTCTGATTACTTGATACAAAACATTAACACACAAGACACTACACGTACATGTATTTACCAGGGTGTGCAGACATAGAACATCAGTTCTCCTGCAGCTTGCTCCTGAGGCAAGTTGTATCTAGAGTACACACTCTACTACTAGCCCAACAGTCATTTTCACTAGCCTAGCTTATGTAATGTTAATTTTCTCAAATTTTAACTTGTAATAGCCTGCAGGTTGACACAATAAAAATAATGTTCAACAGAAAAGAAACCACTTATTCTTTAACCTTCACAATCTTGCTGAAAACTAATGCAGGCTAAAAATAAAACTCAAACAGCTAGAGAAGGCAGAAGAAATCACACGATCAACTTGTGGATTAAACCTTAGAAAGCTTTGTCAGAGCCAACAAAAACACGGCTGTCGAACTTCTTAAACTTGAGTTCGCAACCACTACGTGTACCTAACCAAATCTATAGCCAAGAACTTAAATTTAAGGCAGTTAAAATGCATACTAGCCTGTTGTCCAAGCTGATGCATCATATTTCTTCGCTCGTATTCAGTTCTGTGTCCGTTTTCTAAACACACCTTCTTTCCCAAAACGCTCACAAAAAGGCAAACATGGCGGCCCACGACAATCTCTGAGCCCTTGGTTGTTTTTGGTCAGCGGTGAACTTCCGGTCGGAGTACTGGGTACTAGTTAGCCACGAAGACAAGGACACGATTGATGTCACAGAATAATATGGGGTGAAATTTTTTCTTTTTCTGATCTTCAGTTCTCTGATTTTCCTTGTATAAAATGCAGGGGTTATGGAGCTTTATAGGGAAGATTGGAACTGGTGCTGCCCAGAATTTTCCATATGAAATCGGGGATAAAGTAGGGAAACTTGAAGACAAGTCTGTTTGGACATTACATGAGGGCAAAAAGAAAGTAAGTTAGTTTTTCGAATATCTTACTGATTTAATATGCCTTGAAATTCACAAATAATAAGCAGTATTACCTTTTTTTAAGGGCACTGGAGAAACTGTGTCAGTGTTTGTTCACGATGTCAAGTCATCTTCTGAAGATAAGGTACTTGTCTATGAATTACATTAA